TGGCTGTGAGCAGTGCCTTCAGAACAAGCCTCACTGTATTTCTGCGATGTGCTGCATATCTTGTCACACTCCGCGGATCACATGCTCACATTGGCACACGCTTACCGGTGCTGCTGGATGGTTCGGCATTCCCAACGCGAACGACGGTTGGCTGTTCATCGATACGCATGGATGACATGTTGGTCGTACCGGTATCGCTGACGTCGCCACGCACGCAGCCATCGTGTGTATTCGCCACACGGACTTCTGCGGCACCCTGCACACCTGTCGATTGGGGTATTTTGCAGCAGACAGTTACGCAGCCATTGCAGCTGTACGCAATAGCAGCACATGCGCAGTGAGCCCCGTTCCCATGATGACACGCATTGACTTGTGGTGGCAGTCAGCAGTGCCTTCACAACCGCCCCAACAGCATTTCCGCAAATGCAGCACAGCCCGCGACACTCCGCAAATCACATGCCCACCCTGGCACGCGCTTACCTGTGCCGCGGGATGGCTCTACATTCCCTACGCTATCGCGGGCTGGTTGTGAATCGACGAGCATGGATGACGTGTCGGCGGTACCGGTCTCGGACACTGAGTCATGAACAGGATGGGCTGCACGAACGACAGTTGCACCATGCAGACCTGTCCAATAAGGTCATATGCAGCGGACGATTCAGCAGGCGATGTAGCTGTACTTGAACAGGCTTGGCGGTTGGAATACACTCGTCATCACACCAAGTCGCCAGGATAGGACATGTCATCAGTGTTCACGCTTACTTACTTACTGAAACAAGGCGGACTACTGTGAGCTATACCAGACAACAGGTCCTAAGCCACTGCCTCGACCTTTCCATCTTGCCTTACCCTGTAAACGCAGACCGACACCCGTCGACCAGAAGTGCGCCATGTCTTCATCTGCTGGCGCACATGCAAGCTTAGTGGACCAACTCATTTCATTCTCGGCTACCCTGCCAATGCGTACCTGATACGTTGGCAAAGTGGCAGAGTCGCTGCACCTCGGCTTGCGTGCGCACTGCGTAGGATGGTCGGCCACGCCGACCAAAGCTGCACGTGCGCAACTGCAGATGTTCCCGGTGGTTGTGCAGCAGGTCTTGAGCCTGCTGCTGGCTCAAGTCCATTCGGAGCTGCTGCAACACGGCTGCCGCAGGCACGGCCGTATGCGCAGCAAATAGTTGTTCCAGGTCAGCAGCACCGTCCATGTCGCCGACAAAACTCTGAAGCCGTTTTCTGTTTTTAAGTTTACTTGTGTTTTGGTATGTATTCTTGCGAACATTATATTTAGACACCACTTCCAACAAGGTGCTGTATACGTTGCGCTACCAAAGGCGCGACCGCTTACTTGCACAGCAGTGTCGTTTCGCTCGACGCTTTCTCTTCCTGCGGCCGTGCCTGAGCCAAGCCTTGCAAACTACGTTGCATGATTTTTTCCGTTCTTTTCATTGCGGCACAGAAGCCCCCCACATTTGCGGCCTGCATGCCGCGTGCGGCTGTGGCCAACAGCGCGACGGTCGCGCACCTCGTCCTTTCTTCGCCAAGGAAAATTATATACGCTTGTACAGGCGCATTTTGCGAATCGAAAGCGCGCATCCGCGCGGCAAAATTCGCTCCTGGCTTTTTTGGACGATGTACGAACCGTTTATTCGGCAGAGTACGACCGCTCACATTTGTGCGAGGGGCTGCTTAAATAGCCCGCCCGGCCGTCAGGGCGATGGATTCAGGGCGATGACCTGGATCCACTTCGCCTTGCACTTTTTGATACAGGGCGATGGATGACGTACAACAAAGGTCACACTTGGCAAGAGAACATAAGCCTGCCAACTGAAAACATTTCAGTATTCCTTTAATGAATAAAAGGAATGTAATGCTGCTATAACATCCAGTGTTGGAAAACGTAGGTGGCGCCGCAATGCTCACCCTCTGATCCACATAATGCCTTGAGGAATCATAAGACATGATTGGATGGCGTCCCAGTAGCTTAAGTACTCAGTCCATTGCTGGCACAGCAAGCTGACGTATGGATGCGCGGGAAGCCCATGACCCAATCTCTTGCCGTTTCGGACATAGGGACCGTATAGGCTTAAATTCAATGAAGAATGTTGGAACAAGCCGTTTATTTGCTTGTTGTATGCAAGGGGTGCGGCTTTACACAAAGAGGCTTTTACAAAAATGGAGTGGGAGTCATGCACATGGGCGCCCTTGTATGGCATAAGGAATGCGAAACATAGGTTGATAACGTTCGCTGTATGAATGTTGGTAAGATATTGTTCAGGTTTGGTGGTGTTTAGTAGGTCAATTACCTGGCCATCGGGTTGCGCGAGCTTCTAACCCAACCCTGACGAGGCCAACGAGTGGATCATCTATTCAGTATATCATCCTCGTTTGCTGCTGAACTTTGCTCGTGGGTCCGTTTTCGTGTCCTTGTCATTTTACGTGGTCTGGAGAGAATTTTAGCGATGAAGAGATAGAATCCTTTCCTAGATTTATGATCCTCATGATCGAACTATACGTTTCAGGGGCTGAGTAAATGATTCTGCCATCCGTCGTGAGTTCTGGTAGATATGCATGTCTGGTATTACCGGTAAGCTAACCCACGAACGCAGAATCGGAGTTTCCCACATGCAGCTAGCTTCTGCAATGGCACATGATGAATATTGAATGCAACATGCATTCGCGAATGCATAAAAAGACGCACGCGATACGTCACGTCTGTAAAAGGACGCACACTACTAGCGAGCGTGCTCATCGCTATCAAAGGATGCCGCACATAGGGAGCCTTCGCTATTCACATCCGCTTCTTTGAAAGCGTGACGCTGGCATTAAGCCTATACGGTCCCTATGTCCGAAACGGCAAGAGATTGGGTCATGGGCTTCCCGCGCATCCATACGTCAGCTTGCTGTGCCAGCAATGGACTGAGTACTTAAGCTACTGGGACGCCATCGAATCATGTCTTATGATTCCTCAAGGCATTATGTGGATCAGAGGGTGAGCATTGCGGCGCCACCTACGTTTTCCAACACTGGATGTTATAGCAGCATTACATTCCTTTTATTCATTAAAGGAATACTGAAATGTTTTCAGTTGGCAGGCTTATGTTCTCTTGCCAAGTGTGACCTTTGTTGTACGTCATCCATCGCCCTGTATCAAAAAGTGCAAGGCGAAGTGGATCCAGGTCATCGCCCTGAATCCATCGCCCTGACGGCCGGGCGGGCTTAAATAGGGGGGTCCTTGTGAAGCAGCTGCCCGCGTTTCCAAAGCACGTATGGTGTTGGATTGTAAGGTGCCCAAGTACGTTTGCGAGGAAGAGAATGTGGCCAGGCTGGAGAAGAAAGTGCAGTGGCATATTGGAATGTGAGATTAGCGTAAGCGAGTTACAGGGCGTTTGGCGCACGGGCGAATTTACGTGCATACCTTTCACCGTAGCATCAGTCCTCAGTTCACTTCTTGGAACGAACATCAGCATAGGTCCAAGCCCTCTCGCTTGGACCAAGCCCTCTCGCTTGGAGGGATATGCAAACAAACATCCTGATAGGGGTAAACTCGCACGCTACCGAGCATTCAACCGAGCACATGCATGCTTAGTTGAGTGGGA